TCAAGGTGTTGGTGATGACCTATAAAGCCCTAAATGGCTTGGGTCCTGGTTACCTGAAGGAGCGCTTACGTCCATATATGCCCGCCCGCCCCTTGAGATCTGCGGGAGAGGCCCTTCTCCGGGAACCCTCCATGAAAGAAATTAGGAGGGTAGGTACTCGGAGGAGGGCTTTCTCTGTGGTGGCGCCCAATCTATGGAATGCGATCCCCAGAGAGGTCCGCCTGGTGCCGTTGTTATTTGTTTTTCGGCGCCAGGCGAAGACCTTTTTATTTAAGCGTCATTTTAATTGTTAATATTATGCTTATTTTATCTGGCCAGGGTGACTTATTTTATATTGTTATCTTTTGTATTTTAACTTTGTGTTGTGAGTCGCCCCGAGGCTTCGGCGAATGGGGCGGCATAGAAATGTTTTAATAAATAAATAAATAAATAAATTGCGGCCGTTTTCTGCTTGTTATCTCATTCTTTTCTTATTAGCTATCTATTTATTTATCCAGAAGACTGCAGGCATGCTAATTTACCACCCATTTACTCCCCAGCCCTAAAGTGGCATCTGTTTCTGTGGTTTGGTTCTGTTTCTGCTTTTTCTTAGGACTGACAGGGCCCAGGAGTAACCTGAGCAGTGGCTGCTCCAAAAGGGAGCCATGGAAAGGGGTGTGTCGGTGCCTCTCGCTTCTTTTCTGGAGTAGCTGCAGGCTCAGGGAAGCACTGCAAAGATGGAGGGCCCTAAGAGGCTGTAGCTCAGTGCTTAATATTGAGAGAATTGCATTGCTAATTGAAAGATATTGTGCATATTGTTCAGGCTTCTATATATCCTGGAGTGCTTGATTCTGCCTAACCTGGAAGCTAAGCAGGGTTGGGCCTGGCTGAAATCTGGGTGGGTGACCTGCCCAGAGAGCTTCAACTGCAGCTGGTGTAGAAATGTGATAGTAATGGTAATGCCTCCCACGCCCACCCTTTTGCTGCCCCCGTTTTTGTGCTTTTCCATTGACAACTCGTCAGCCGAGTGCAAAATAGCTATATTTCCTGCTTCGCTTCTGCTGTCTTTTACAGCTGAAACATGCAAGGCAATTGACCAGACAACCATCACCACCAGCAGCAATCGCACTAATTACAAAAACATTTGCACACTGGGGGAGGGGGCTTTTTTTTGTTTTTTGTTTCAATCTTGGAGAACTGCTGTCGCTTGCTCCAGGGTGCTGCTTGGGCATTGCTAAATGGGTTGTCACTACAGGAGCAAGGGTGCGATTGGAAATGCTATTTTTTTCCTTCGGCCACTCTTGCCAAGTAAGTCTCCAGCTGGCCCCTGCAAGCTACTTTCCTGGGTTCTCGCAGATGACACAAGAAGCCAGTGTGTCCCTGGAACAAGCCATGGGTCGTTGCTGAAAAAGAAGTGACTTCGGGGGAGGTGGCCTGGGTTTGAAGGACATGGGCAGTCTGTTGTGGCTGGTGACTCACGATGGATTGTTGTGTCATGCGAGCCCACGTGCTTGCTGGGTTTGGGCGTCCCAATAAGCCATCCTGAGAACAGCTGTTCTACGCAACCCTCTAAAAGGCATGGTTTTTCAGAGTGTTGTCAAAAAACCATACAAGGTGGAGAAGCCGCACTGGGTTTGGACATCAGGCTGTGCTACCCGCAGCCAACCATGGTGGCAGCTCTGCGTGGCTTGGGGGGACGTGCAAAGCAGACTGCAGGAACCAGACCCCTTTTCCTGGTGTTCTCTCCTGATCCACACTTCCAGTGCCGCTTCTGCACCGAGCCAAACCACATTTTCCCCCTCAAAGATTTCCTTTTGAGCCTTAAAGAGCAGAACATTACAAAACTGTCTGTCGCGAAGACTCGGGCATTTACAAGATGCAGCCAAAATTATTTATTTATTTATTTATTTATTTATTTATTGAAACATTTTTATGCCGCCCCATTCGCCGAAGCCTCGGGGCGGCTTACAACAATAAATTAAAATAATTATAATCTTAAATTTAAAAATATAAACATTAGCTTAAAAATACAAAAATACAATATAAAATAAGCTGCCCTGGCCAGATAAAATTCAATAATATTAACATTTAAAATGCCGCTTAAATAAAAAGGTCTTCGCCTGGCGCCGAAAAACGAATGACGGCACCAGGCGGACCTCTCTGGGGAGCGCATTCCATAACTTAGGCGCCACCGCAGAGAAAGCCCTCCTCCGAGTACCCACCCTCCTAATTTCTTTCACGGAGGGCTCCCGGAGAAGGGCCTCTCCCGCCGATCTCAGGGGGCGGCTGGGCATATATGGATGTAAGTGCTCCTTAAGGTAACCAGTTCTACCCCAGTTCGTAATAAAGGAAAGAAATCCCCATTGTTTATACAGAAGTAAGTCATTCGATATTATCTTGAGGAAGAGAGAGATGAGTCTTCGGAGGAAGGTGCAGGCAGCTGCATTTCATTCCCGTTCGATTGATGTTTGCATCAGGCCGTGCGGAGCCCCGGGGAATATTGAAAGGCTGCCTGTCATCTTGACTGCTCCCGCATCGGGCATCTCTGGTATTCTCATGCCGTGGGGTTGCTGGAGGCTTGTGGGAGCAAGAAAGCCGCCACCCGCCTGCTGGCATTTGGGCTGATGGATGTGCACACCCAGATTTCTGAGTTGCTGGACAATAAACCACCTGGTGTTTCAGCCCATGGTTTCTTGTTGGGTGGAAAGCTGGTTGTTCGGCCTCACCAATCCAGAGTTCTGGGCTAATATGACCCATCAGGCAGCCCAGGATTGGGGCCGAGATGCAGATGAATGCAAATCAGAAGGAAGGAGCACCTGGGAAGAAACCGAGGTTACTCATTCTGACTGTGCACCACCAATTCAGGAGTTAACCTGTGAGTCGACATTCCTTCTGCGCTACCAGGTCGCTGTTTTCATCCTAACCTGTTCCTTTTTATATCTCCATTGTATCTCCCAGTCTGTTTTTAAGCTGGGATCTCCTTGGTTCCTTCAGAAAAATGTGTGGTGAAGCAGCCCTTTGGGCCGCCAAAGCCCTGCAGAGTTTTGTGCGTCTCTTCTTGTGACATTTAGAATAACACCGAGAGTGCTCATGTTTCCTTCTATCTTGTGCCAGTTTTGTATTTTGAAAGAGAGAATGCCTTGCAGCGTGAAACCTTAGAATCTGTGATTTCAAGAGAGCCATTGATTCCGGGCTGTGGAGCCTGGAATGAGAACCACTGGACTGGTTTTACATTTGCAAAAAAACGGGGTTCCATCCAAACAGAAATTGGAGACGCTCAGGCAGGATTTGTGGACCTGAGAAGGCTTTGTTCGGTGCCCTTGCTTTTTGTCTGTTCCTACGTGGCTTTAATCCTCCTCTGGAGAACGGCAGGGAAATTATTTGGCTTAGAATACGGGAGACACTGAGTGGTCCTCTGGTCCTCTGAAACTGAGGCTGGTTTTCGGAGCAGTGATGTGACGGAGGATGAGAGCAGTGTGTCGGCGCTCGCCTCCTGTAGCAAACCCAGAGAATGGAAGTGGGCAGGACTTGTCTTGCTGCCGAGGAAAATTGCTATGCAAGGCTTGCCACTTTTATTTTAATTTCAGTTTTTCCTTTTCTCTGGAGATGTATGCTGGGGTGCTGATGCGTAACAGCACACCACGTGTGTGTGTGTGTGTGTGTGTGTGTGTGTGTGTGTGTGGCAGTGGGGGGATGGCTGGTGAAAGGCTAGGAAGGGGTTTGTGCTTCTGAAAATAGTAGGACCGTGCAGGGGAGCAATTAATGGGAAGTGCGTGGCTGCGAAGTCTCCCTTGCGCTTATCTGGAAGGGCCTGTGAGACTTGCCCATGTGCGGCTCCCACACGGAGACGTGGCGGTTAATTGCCCCAGTTAGACTCAGAAATGAAATCTGCATTACGTCTTTACTGAAAATGCATGCCCCTGGCTTTAAACGTGGAAACACATTTCCAGAGTGGCCAGGAACGAACATAAAATAGATTAAAAGCAGCTTGCCCAGTCTTGGCTGCCGAAGCCCTAACGGCTGCCAAAGGGTGCGTTGAGCAGAGAATGCCTCCCCTTGAGGAGGAGGCATGCGGACAGGCAGGCTGTGACCACCACTCAGGCCCTGCCGCTGGTGGCGGGGGCAGCCAGGGAATGGCCCCGTGCAAGTTTGCGGAGTTGTTCCCAACAGCCGGCGCACGCTTCCAAACGGCACGCAGCCCTTCCGGTTCTCGTGGTGCTAAGCCCCAGCACTGAGTGGCCTGGGGCAGCGTAGAAATGCGGTCGGTGCCGGCTGTTGCTATTTCCTTCGGCTCATCCTCTTGACTTAGCCTGCTCTTCCCTGACAGAACTGAAAGCGGTGACAAAGCGCTTCTCCCACGCGGGAGTGTCGAACTATACGACGCTGACACTGGCCGATCCGAAAGGGCTGCTCTATGTCGGGGCGCGAGAAGCCATCTTTGCCCTCAGCACCAGCAGCATGGAGCTCGAAGAAGTGGTGAGTGGGTGGGGTGTCGGGGCGAGGAGGCGCCTGCGAGGAGGCGCCCCAGGAGCCGCTTGTCGGAGGTTTGCCCCCCACTTTGCTATCACGGCTCGGAGGCACTGGCTGGCCAGTGGCCTTTGCACTCCGCAAGACTGTCTCCTGGTTTAGAGGAAGGTCCTCTATTTGAGGGCCTGTCGGAAGACAGTCCTCCGATCCGCATGCATCCTTTCTCCGAAGGGTTATCCAGGGCCAAAGCTAGTTCAAACACCAAAACTCAAGAAAGGGGGGTGACGGGGAGCTGCAGGGTGCTGGAACTGGCCCGCGAGCCATCGGCGGCTGCCTGGGGGGGCCGACCGAACGAGCACGCAACTCACCTGGCCTCCCCTGCTAATGTGAGGCATCCAGATGCCCCGCGCTGCAGTCTAAATTATGGCAGAGCTTTCCAAATGGGCTTCTCTCTCCTCTGTGAACGAGGCAGTGCTCCTGCCAACCCGCGTGAATGGCCACCCTGGTGTCCCCCATGCTCGGGCAAGCGTGGGCAGTGAATCTGCGCTGCCACCGAGGCGTTGCAGCGCAGAGGCAAGCTGACCTGACTGCTGGGGCACAGTCCAGGGGGACGTCTCCGCTGGCTCATGCCTTCTTGGAATGAGCGCAGCTGTGCCCGCTTGCCGAGTCCTGCTCTTGCGTGGATGGGAAGGAGCCGGCTGGGCTCTCCGAGTGCAGGCACGAGAAAGCCTGAAGGAGGCCAGGGCGTGGACGAAGGGGAGCCTTGCGCATGGCTGCTTGGAGCCACAGGCTGGGATTTCAGCCTGCACTGCGGCTTTTTGCTCTCTGTCATCCTGTGCTCATTCTGAAGCGCTTTCAAAGCGCTGCACACAGTCCCAAGATGTGAAGGTTCCTTGTTGTCCCCTAAAGCACCCAGGGCCTCCATGACAGGGTAGAGGAGGCATCAGAGGTGGTGATCACGGGATGCTAAAGAAACATGACTGTTCTTTGTAGATTCTCTGGGAAGCTCCAGCAGAGAAAAAAGCAGAGTGTATCCAGAAGGGCAAAAGTAACCAGGTAAGCCAAGTCATCTGGGAGTTTACCTGTGCTTTTCATTCTCGGTTTTACCTATGTGTATGATTTCAAGATTTGTTAGTTTGCTTTAGTCTTGGGAGATGGCTTAGCTTCGCCTTACTCCCTTTGAATTAATGCCTCCCTCCCCACACACTCATGCACGCGCACGCGCACACACACACCCCTACACAACATCAGGGACAGCCCAGGTAATTTCCCAGGGGCAGAACAGTGTGAGGCAGGGGGAGAATCACTGCTTTGCTCGGGTGCTGTTTTGAAGCTTCCCCAAGGGAAGGGGGGTCCAGAAGCCACTAGAGTGCTCCCATCCCATTCTGGGAGGGTTGTCTCACAGCTTGCTCGGGGACCGCTTTCGAAGCCCTTCCTGAGTAAAACTCTGGCTGAAGAAGCTTCGAGGTGCCTGTGCAGCAGGTGGGTGTGAGGGGGAGAACGTGAGAGCCAGAGAGCTGGCAGTGGAGGCGAGATTTGGGCCAGGGACTCTCTGAGCGCCGCTCTGGGCTTCTCAGGGTGCCTCGGCTCCTCTTCCTCGGACCACCGTGCCAGCACCGTGCAGAGCGGCAGGGGTCTGAGCCGGCTGGCGGTGCCCCCACTTGCACGGTGCGGCGGCAGCCTGCCCCTGGGAACACCACTAAACCCTGGTCCCCAGAGTCCTGCTCTGCAGGTGAAGCCAGCAGCGAGCGGCTGTGTTTGCATTTCCCCTCCGCTCTGTTTGCATTCCATCGTCCTGGCAAACTTCGCCGACAAACTCGAATGCCGGCTCAGCTGTGTCTGCGACAGGCAGGCCAATGTGAGCCCACGAGTTTCTGGGGAAATCTTTCCAGGGCTTTGCCGTCCATCTCGACGCTCCTTCTCCAGTTGGGGATGGAGGACTGGGCTGAGCCGCCGCCGCTGCCATTGAAATAATTTTTGCTAGATCTCCCACTTTGAGTTGAACAGATTTTACATTGTATCTGTCGAGCATAATTCAGTGGGCTGCTGATCTTTCACAAGTGCTTTTCATAATATGGTTTGCTTGTGGATAGCAAAGCATTCTGCTAGGAGAAGCATCACCAGCTTCTCTCTGTGTGAGAGCATCTCTCTTCCAGGAGCGTGGCTGCAGGGCATATGTCCTTCTGCTAAGAAAATTGCAAAGAAAGAGAGCTGCAAACCTTTCCTGGTTTGTTTAGCAATCACGCTAGCGGGGGGGTGCGAAATGCAGGCACGCAGGCGCCCTTGTCCAGAGCGCCACCCCCTCGCCGTAACCGGAGCCCAGTATTTTTCCCTGTGACTGAAGCCATTGTACTTGTGCGTCCAGCACAAGGAAAAGTTGAATTCTGCGACTTGCGTTATAGCTGCATACAATATTCATGTTGGCAGATTTTGCATGATTGCATTTCAATTTTGATTAGCCATTTGGGCACCGGGAGAAAAACTCCGTGGGCCTGAGCCCTTCCTTCTCATCACTGAACATCTTCTCCCTCTGGCTTCTGAAATTTTGCTACTTGAAGTGGTCTTACTAGCCTTGAGAGCTAGAAACATATTGTGAAGGGAGCCACGGTGCCCAGGATGCGGAGTTCTGCTTGGGACAGATGCAGTCGCACACTGAAAGCCGCTCTGGGCCATTGTTTGGAGACTCGCTAACAGCCCAGTTCTTTTTTCCCCAGACTGACTGTTTCAACTACATCAGTTTTCTGCAGATTTACAATAGTTCTCACATGTATACCTGCGGCACGTATGCATTCCAGCCCAAGTGCGCCTATATTGTGAGTATGGCCGGGAGCGTTCCCGTGACTGCAACTCTGCTTGGCATAATTCTGGGTCGACGCCAGCCTCTAATCCTCACCTTTTGTGGAATGTTTTTCAGGACCTGGCGACTTTCTCCCTGGACAGGCTTTCCTTTGAAGATGGAAGGGGAAAGTGTCCCTATGACCCTGCCAAAGGATACACTGGCCTCATTGTAGGTAAGTTGCCACATTCTTGGATCAGAGGTGAGGAATCCAAACTGTGGGAGGACAGTTGCTGGTCATTTGCCTGCACAAGGCTCGTGGAAATGATTGCGCAGAGAGGGTCTGGTGGGGAGTGAGGGAAAGAATCGGCTTCTGCAAAGCTTCTGCGGCCTGGTTGCCTGCAGGAAACTTTCTGCTCGCCACAGGTGACCAGGGAAGCACTGCTGTTAAGCAAGCCCATTCTCATCTGTAGGGATCCCACCAGCTGGGCTAACATGCTCTCTTCTGTCCATTTCAGAGGAGGAGTTGTATTCCGCAACTCTCAGCAATTTTCTGGGCACCGAATCGGTGATCTTGCGCAACCTGGGCCCTCAGTATTCAGTCAAGACCGAGCTGCTGCACACTTGGCTCAATGGTAAACTGTGACAGGAAAGGAACAAGCAGGACATAAAGCTAATAAAGAAATGGGAATGATAGACATAGGATGCTGCCTTAGAACAGGCTGGTCTTTTTCTCCAGCTGGGCACGGGGTGTCCCCGCGTGGGACAGGGACTTTCCCATCAGCTACCCCCGTTGGCTTGGGTGCGGGGCATCACGCCTGGGGGCCAGTTTGGCCCTCGGGGTTTTTTACACGTGTTTAGTATATCAACACCTTGCCCCCCACTTGGGAGCTCTCAGAATCAGAGCCAGGAGTGTCTGCCCATGGCCTGTGTGTGCTGGGAAAGTGGGCGTCCGTGAGGGACCACTGGGATGGTGGCCGGTTTGCAGGGGGAGCCATATGGGGAGAGACGGGGAGCTGCGCCTTTCAGCCCTGCGAGGAGGAGACTCAGAGGGGACCCATTAGCAGCGTACATGTAGCGAGGGGGCGCCACGCAGGGCTGGGTCATGGCCTTTCTTCCCTGCAGTGGAGGGCAGGACGTGTCGGTCCAGGAGGCCCCTTTTGGCTCGCTGTGTTTCTATATTTCTAAAATTCATTCAATAAAACAGAATAAAAATACAAGACAGTCTCTTTACAATATGGTCCCAATACAGTACAATACAGCTGAGGCCCCATCGGTGCGGGTGCTCAAGGATAGGCTGGACAGGCACCTGGTGGGCATGTCATGAGCGGTGCCGGCTGGAGCCAGGGGTCAGACTAGATGGCCCAGGGGGTCCCTTCTGACTTGCACTGCTTCTCTGTTTCTGCCTCTCGGAGCTGGTGTGGTTCTGGTCCAGATCTCGCTGTTCATTGTGCACCTTCCCCTCTTTGCAGAGCCCCACTTTGTGGGCTCGGCGTTTGTCCAGGAGAGCAAGGGCAGCGACAGAGGCGATGACGACAAGGTCTACTTCTTCTTCAGTGAGCGCGCCGTGGAGTTCGACTGCGACATCGACCAGGTGGTGGCTCGCGTGGCCCGAGTCTGCAAGGTGGGCGTGCAGTCCTGGGTGGGCTTTCTCGGAAGCCCCACACCACTTCGCGTGTCCCTGTCTATTCTCCCCACCCCCCGGTCCCATGCGGGGCTGTGGGAGAATCCACTTCAGATTCCCCGGGCGCGGCTACCCGGACCCCTGTCTGCTTCCCTGTGGCCCCCATGCCGAGTTCTTGGCGAGTGCTCCCCACCTTCAGGAGAGGGAGAAAGATGCATTCCGTTTGGGATCCTCCCCCCGTTTCTGCGTGCACATGTGGATAGCCCCACCACACAGCTACGCCTCCCCCCGCCACAGCTTCTGGGCATGCGGTACAGGCCTCTTACCCCAGAGGGGGCTGCCCCATGCATGACACTGGGGGTGGGACGGGCCACCTAGCAGGCAAGGCGTGGCGTGTGTGGCCATATGCTGGATTCTTCACACCCAACCGGGTGCCATGTTTTCCTCCTGAAGCAGAGCTGGCAAGCGCCTTGGGGCAGGGACTTGATGCTCCCTCCCTTTAGTGACTGTGACTCTTCAAAGTACCCTGATGCTCTCGCATAAGACTGTAGCCTTCTAGTCTAGAAGGCACACAAGACAAAGGGGCCACACTTCCTACAAGCTCTTCTACTGTGTCCAGTTCTGGGCACAAGATTTAAGAAAGGTGCAGGTAAATTAGAAAGGGTCCAGCGGAGGGCAACAAAAATGATCTGGGGTTGGGAAACACTGCCCTGTGAGAAGAGAAGCCTGATGGGGGACATAATATCCCTCTAGAAGTACCCCAAAGGCTGTCACAGAGAGGAAGGTCAAGCTCTCTCTCGCTGATGCCAGAGTGCAGGGCAGGGAATAATCCATTCAAGCTGCAAAAACCCAGATGCAGGCTGGACAACAGGAAAAGCTTCCTCACTGCCAGAGCAACACGACAGTGGGACCGGCTGCCTGGAGAGGTGGGGGGCTCTCCCACACTGGGCACATTCAAGAAGAAACTGGGCAGCCCTCTGAGTGGGAGGGTGTGGCGTGGTGTCCTGCAGCAGCAGGGGTTGGACGCGAGGGCCTTCATGGACCCTTCCAGCTCTACTCTTCTGTGATTCTCTGATTCTTTCTCTGCAGGGGGACATGGGGGGTGCCCGGACGCTGCAGAAGCGCTGGACAACCTTCCTCAAGGCGCGGCTACTCTGCTCCATTCCGGAGCAGCAGCTGCATTTCAACCGGATCCAGGGAGCCTTCACACTGACGGGGGATCACTGGCGCGAGACCAGCTTCTTTGGGGTCTTCCAGGCACGCTGGTAAGGAAAGGGCGCTTGTCCCCTGGTCTATGAGGGCCAGCTGGGTGGGCAGCCAAGCGAATTTCAGACGGCAAGATGTAACAATGGAGGTGGGGGCGGGAACAGGATGCCGCTCCTTGTGAATTTCGCCTGTCGCTGTTTTGAAACGGCAAGTTTCTGGTCCATAAGGCTGTGAGGATATCTTCAAGAACAGCCCTCTTTGGCCTAAATCTCAGGCACCAGAGGGTCATTTGAACAAGAGTTCAGTGGCTCAGGATGCAGCCTCACTGTTGTGTCCGTCTTTCGTTTTCCGCTTTGCTCCTCCATGGTGTTGCAGGTTAAGCAAATCAGGTTATGCAAAACCATGACTCAGAAGGAGGGAAATGTGCGCAGTTTTGCATGACTTGCACAGGTTGGGGATTTGGCTCTTTCTGCACTTGAATATGGCACGTCCCCCCTTTTTTCCTTCCTGCCTTAAGCAGAAGGGAGGCTTGCTTAATGGCAATAAAATGTTCACAGTATTGGCTGTCTTTGATGCTAATCCTTCCTTCCCTCCGTCCTTCCTTCTTCAGGGGAGATGTTGACGTTTCTGCCATCTGCCAGTACCAGATTTTAGACATGCAGAACGTGTTTGAAGGCCCCTACAAGGAGTACAGCGAGATTGCCCACAAGTGGGTGCGGTACTCGGACCAGGAGCCCGTCCCCCGTCCAGGAGCTGTAAGTCCCTCCCTCCCCCCCCCCCCCCCTGCTTTGCCCCCGGGGAAGCCTCTTCCCAGAGCCGGCCTCGTGGCAAGCCCTGGCAGAAGGCTCCATGCCCTTCCCTTCCCTTCCCTTCCCTTCCCTTCCCGTCCAGTGCATCACCGACTGGCACCGGCAGAACAGCTTCACCAGCTCGCTGGAGCTGCCCGACAACACGCTGAACTTTGCCAAGAAGCACCCGCTGATGGACAAGGTGGTGCCGCCACAGGGCGACCGGCCCCTGCTGGTCAAGAAGGAGACCAACTTCACCCAGCTGGTGGTGGAGCGCGTCCACGGCCTGGACGGCAAGCCCTACAAAGTGCTGTACATCGGGACAGGTATGGGACCGCAGCCGCCGCGCCCCTGGCTGGTGGGCGGGCGGGAAGCCCCCCTGTAGAACTGCTCTTGCCCCACTGCATGTCTGTCCTCCCCATTTATTATTATTCTTGCCACTCTGCATTTATATCCCACTTTTACCTCTTATGAGGACCCCAAGGCAGTTTACATGGCTCTGCTTTCTCCTCGCAACAACAACCCTGAGAGGTAGGTTGGACTGAAAGTGAGTGACTGGCCCAAAGTCACTTACTTGTGGTGTATTTATGTATTCAATTAATTCCATCTTTATGCCACCTCGTAAGGTTACAATACTAGAACATAAAAACATACGTAAATTACAATAAAGCAGTTATTAAACATATAAAAAGATCAACCAATAAAATAATAGAGGACCTCAAATAAAATATATTCTCACACACCAGTAAACACAACCAACAAATTAACCAAAATTTAGATTAAAAATCCATAATAAAATATAAAAATATGTTATAGTGGTGTAATGGTTAAGAGTGCTGGAGCAGGACTTAGGAGACCCAGGCTGAAGTCTCCGCTCAGCCGTGGAGCCAGCTGGGTGACTTGGGTCAGCCACAGACTCTCAGCCCAGCCTACCTCACAAGGTTGTTGTTGTAAGAGAATAAGACTTGGAGCAGGAGGAGGAGAAGGATGCAAACCTCCTTGAGTTCCTCGAAAGGAAAAAAAGGGCAGGGTATAAAGATAATAAACGAACAGGCAAACCAGGATCTCCCAGTTCTCCAGTCTCCCCACACTAGTCTGGCTCTCAGTCCCTGTTTACTCCCCGCTTTCATCCCAGGAACCTCAGACAAAATGTAGCAGGAGGTCTCACGGAGTTCCTGCTCTAGTCCTCGGAGAGAGCCATTTTCCCTGGGTAGACCTGCTCCCCCCAGATGTGTGGGGCTGCCAGATGTGCTTCCGGGCTGAACAGCAGCCTCACCTGCCCTGTGGCCGTTCCCTGGCAGAGGAGGGCACTGCCGCCCAAGTGCCCGGTGGTGCCCCCCTTGGTGAGGCAGGGGCAGCAGGCCCACGGCACGGATTCTCAGAAGTGCCGGGGCGGTTTGCCCGCGGGGAATGGCCCGCTGAACCCCGGCAATTCTGTGTGCGCTCGTTCCTTGCCGTGACCGCCCGACCTTCCCCGGATTAGGAGGGTCGCTGCCCGGAGCAGGGCCTTCTCTGCAGTGGCGCCCCAACTGTGGGACACGCTCCCCAGAGAGGTTCGCCTGGCGCAGTCGCTTTATTCTTTTTAGTATTAGGCGAAGACCTTCTTATTTTCCCAATATTTTAGCAGTTAATTGGTTTTAACTTGGATTTTATCATTAATGGTTGAATGCAGTTTGTTGTGTATGTGTTGTATGTGGTTGTTTTGTAAGCCATCCAGAGACCTCAGTACTGGACAGCATATAAAAACTCTAACTAAATAAATAAATACAACCCACGAATGTCCCACAGATCGCGGGTGGCTGTACAAGGCGGTGGTGCTGCCGACGGGCGTCCATCTCATCGAGGAGCTGCACGTCTTTGAGGGGGCCCAGCCCATCAAGAGCTTGGTCTTGTCCGTGCAGAAGGTGAGCAGGGTCCCTGCCCAGAGGTGGGCGGGCGGGCAGGCAGGCCTCGGTGGCCTTCAGCACAGCCAGCAGTGGTGGACCATGAGACTCGTTGTCCTGCGGCAGCTGAGGGGGCTGCCTGCTTCCAGGACTGGAATTTCGGGAGGAGACCGGTGCCAGTCGGGAGACCTTCCCAAGCCCCCTCGTTCCCCTTGAGCAGCGGCTCCCAAACTGTTCCGCAGAACCCTCAAAAGCCTCATGGGGGTTCCACGAACACTCCAAAAAGTCAAATTTAAAACGGATTGTGAAATGGAACCAGCCAAGGGCAACTATCCGGCTGTCGGTTGGGGTCCGAGCATCAAACAGGGAAATGCAGCACATCATTTGGTTCTCAGGACTCTGCTGTGTCGCGCTGGGTATAATTGACAGAACTCATTTGGGATATTACCATACAGTCGCTTTATTCATTCGTTGTATTTGAAGTGCTTTCTCTTTATTTCCAAACCTCCTACGTTATCCAAAGTACTCAGGACCATGTGAAAGAAGGAAGAACGTTGTGGGTTCAGGGATAGAGTTTGGGTTCTACGGGGAAAAACGTCTTCAGAAAGGTTCTGTGACCGAAAAAATTTGGGAACCGCTGCCCTATAGCATTGTGTGTGTGTGTGTGTGTGTTAGTTAGATACACACGTGCGCACACTGCTGAGATAAATTGTGCAAGTTAAGGCAGCTTGCTCACTTCAGCTACTTCTCTTTTTGGAGATCAGACATCGGGTCAGGGGGCTCTTGGGGTGAGGAACTGGTGGAAGGGGAATGGTCTGGAGCGAGAGAAGGGTGGGAGTGGAGCCCTCAGAACACGACAGACTCCCGGAGTCCGCTGAGCGCTTTGGGCTTCTCGAATGACACCAAAAACCTCCTGCGTGTTTGTGGGGTGTTCTCTGGAACCGCCAGGGCTAGAAACAAGCTTGTTTAAGGAACCAGCAGAAGCTTGGCTCCACGGGAGCAGCGTGTGGGGTGCAAGAGCTTGGAGAATGAGGGGTCTTTAGGATGCTGAGTGGTCGTCTTTTCCGTTCCTAGAGGGTGCTTTTTGTGGGTTCCGACTCCCAAGTCATCCAGCTCCCCGTGGCCGAGTGCGGGAAGTACCGCTCCTGCTCCGACTGCATCCTTGCCAAGGACCCCTACTGCGCCTGGACCTGGAACGGCAGTCGCTGCGTCCGCATTGATGCTTACGACGGGTACACGGTGCATCGGCTGAGCCGGGGAAAAGGGAAGGGGTGGTGGGGAGCGTTCGGGGTCCTCATTCAGCAATCAGGGAAATGTGCATGTGTGAATGCACCGAGAAGTGGCACACCAGCTCCTGTGAGTCTGGTTTCTATCCCTTCGATGCCTACCGTCCTGCATGTTACAATTACTTTTCAGTCACTGTGAGGACTAGAAACTTGCTTTAAACAGCAGCAGCAATAAAAGGCAAATCTCTGAGGGTCAAACTTAATACCTGCACAGGACAACATGCAGCCTGCTCAGTTTTCAGGCCCCACACTTAGGCGCTGTCCTGGATGGCTTTTCCCCAGCCTTGTTTCACGCCTCTTGTGATGCACGGACTCTTTGCTCTTGCAGGACCTCGGTGCTGTTCCAAGATCTGGGCGTGGATCCTGCGATGTGCAGCCCCCTGCGTGCTGCCCGGCCAGGTCAGTCCCCAGCTGCAGGCGCCAGCCAGCTCTGCTTGGTGACGCACTTCTTCTGCACGGTGGGCGTGTTGTGGAGGCCTGCGATTTCTCGGTGCTGCTGTCCCGCAAGGCGGAGGCAACATTGCCAGGGAAGGATGGGTTTGAGAGGCAGGCTCAAGCAATTGCGTGGGGGCATTTTGGAGGCAGTCCTGAGAAATTCTACCGCAGTCTCTCATAACTGCAGAGAGAAGGGTGCAAAGAATTTATTTGTTTATTTAGCACTTTTATATACCATCTTGCCGCCACATGGCTCTGTAGACAGTTTACATAATAAAACCAACAACATAGAACTTCGAAAATAAAACAATTAAAACCACAGTGGCAATAAATAATAAAGTAACATTACCCTCCCAGCAGGCACACCAAGCAATAGTTTTACAACAGATTGTTGGAACAACCTTAAACATCACAATGAAGAATACTAAAATTACTGTAAAATACCGATGAAAATCAAATTCCAACAAAAATAATCAGCAATTAGCATGCTCCTTGAATAAAAATGTCTCGATTGGGCACTGGAATGTGTATGAGGACAGCGCTTGGGAATATCTCTGGGAAGCTGATTCCAGGGATGGGGTGCCACAGCTGAGAAGGCCCTGCCTCCTGGCTTCCTTTAGAGGCGGCTCCGGGGCAGGGCCTCCGACACACCACAGAAACCTTGCTTCACCGATCTAGGTCTGTCCTTAAGCGACCTGGGAGTGGGGAGAGGCAGGTGGGGCTGTGCCCCCTCTGTGCCCACGCTCCTTCCCGGTCGCCTTCCACAGTCCGAAGGGGTGGCTTCTGAAGCAGGTCACCCGCGTGACCTGAAGCCCTGCTCCTTATTTGGTGGCATGGTTTCTAGCTGCAGGACTTGTTTGCTGCATCTTCCTTCAGTTTTACCGCAGAATGGTGATCTGAGCCCTCCGCCAGGAATACGTCCCTTTCTGCTTGTCTGGACAATGGGGCTAAGGCAAATCCATACATGGGAAGCCGTTTCTCTCACGCTTGCGTTTAAACCCCCTGCTTCTAAAAGAAAGAGCCGGCTGGACGCAGAGGCAGTGCGGAGGCTCGCAGCTTGTCGGGTGGACCCACAAGCAAGGCCGGCAGGGGACGTGTGCAGAGCCCCAAAAGCAGGGCGCTCCGTGCCCCGCAGGGAGGCCTGCTGGCTGCCTGGCTGCTCACCCACTCCCTCCTCTTCCCAGGAGCTAAAGCGGCGGCCAGAAACATCACCGTGGTGGCCGGCACGGACCTGGTGTTGCCCTGCCGCCTCACCTCCAACCTCGCCACGCCCCGCTGGAGCTTCAACGGCAGGGACCTGCCCGAGGAGCCGGCCTCGGTCCTGCACGACGCGCAGCTCCAGGCCCTGATCGTCCTGGCCGTGGGCCCGCGGCACGCGGGGCTGTACCGGTGCGTCCAGCTGGAGGAGCGCAACGAGCTGATGGTGGAGAGCTACGCCGTCTCGGTGGTGTCCGGCCCGGCCGTGTCGCTGGAGACCCGGGCCCCGCTGGAGGGCTTGGGCCTCGTGTGGATGCTGGTGATCGCCCTCTCCGTGGTGTGCCTGGTGCTCCTGCTGGTCGTCGTGTCGCTGCGCCGCCGGCTGAAGGAGGAGCTCGAGAAGGCCTCCAAGGCCATCGAGAGCACCCTGGTCTACCCCATCGAGCCGCCCAAGGAGGCCAAGAGCCCCACCTTCATCCCCAGTGCCACCTCCGACTCGGACGAGAAGCTCTGGGACCCGGCCAGCTACTACTACTCGGACGGCTCCCTCAAAATCGTCCCAGGCCACGCCGTGTGCCAGAACGGGGGCAGCACCCCCTCGCCCACCACCAACGGCATCCCGGGGCAGCCGCTGCAGTCGCCGCCGCTGCACTCGCCCAGCCGCATCAACCTGGGCAACATCCGCGGCTCCTCCTCCAACGGCTACATCCGCCTCAACCTGGGCACCGAGGAGCGCCCGGACTACAGCGACCTGGCCGAGGAGCTGCGCCGGAAGCTCAAACAGCGGCAAGCCCTGCCGGACTCGAACCCCGAGGAGTCGTCGGTATGAGCCGCCCGCAGACTCCCGCGTCTAACTCAACTACCTCACGAAAAGGGCCCGAATCACTGCCCCCAGCTGGGACTACCGCGGCTTTTTAGACACCTATTTAAGGACTTGGTTTGTTTTCTAGCCAATGCTGCCGGTTTTATACACTGCCAGGACACCTTCTCGCCATGCTGCTCAGACTTTTAGTGTTTTCAGCCGGGCTTCCCTTGGAGACGTCCCCCAGACTTTGGGGGCAGGATTCCGCGCTCCTTTTGCCTCGGGTGGGGAGTTGGAGCTCCCCGTTGAACCAACGGGCAAGCAGCCGGGCCCAGTCCGAGCCGATTTCTTTCCGGGATGGCCCCCCGTGGCTCAAGTCAGTGCTGGAGAGCTCCTCGGAAGAGGCCAGTGGAACCAGTTCCGGGAGCAGAGGCACCCCAGTGTCTCCCTTCTCTGTCCCATACCCAACCAGTAACTGCCGTGTGAAAGGAATGGTCCAAGCTGGTTGAGAGCCTGCATTTTTCCCGCAGAGGCAGGCCGGGGGCACAAAAATCCGCCTGCCCCCGGTTCCTGAAGGAACGCTGCAGAGCGTGCCTGCTTGTGAGGCTCCGCAAGGGCGGGCGTCCGCGGCTCGAGGAGGGCTGCGGTCAGGCGGCACAACCTGGAGGGCCTCCTGGCCCGGGAAAGCACTGTGTCCGCGAGGGGGTGGGCCAGAGGGTGCGCTTCCAGGGGGCCGCGCTCGATCATCGTGCTTTGCCGTCCTGCCACGTCCTCGGTGGCTCCCCTCTTTCACCGGGGAGCCAGCTGTGCCCGACACGGGTTGTGCTGTCTTCCGCACCTCTGCTCCCCAGCCCTAATTCGTGGTACCCCAGTTCTTCCTTCCAAGTGTGGGAGCCCCGTTCCTTGTCCGTGGCTGAATTGCCTCTGCAGGGTATGTGTGTGTGTGTGAGAGAGAGAGAGAGAGAGCGTGAGTGAGCGAGCGAGCGAGAGAGGAGGAGGAGAGAAGCCCTCCAAAAAATCCGAACTGATTGCTGTGACTAAACTGAGCTTCCTGTGCCCACTTTTTCGGGGTGGGGAGCATGCGGTGTGGAGCCCCCAACATGCCCTGGCTGCAGCTCTGGCTGGTAGCCAAGCCGTCTTGCAGCCAGCCCCCTTCCTGGCCCAGCATGCGTCACTCCCCCAACTGATCTCCCCCACTTCCCTCTTTGTATCTTGTTTTTTAAACACAGTGTACATAAAAGAGAGGCTTCTTCGTAAAAGCCCTTGTGCTTCTCTCCACCCAGGCCCCCAGCAAGTCGTGTAATTTATTTGTTACTGAAATATATTTATTTGATGTAAATATCTGAATATTTTTATATTAATAATAAAACGGAGAGAGAAAAAACAGATGTTTGTGGTGCGTTGAACTGGGGCGTCTTGTTCTCCCTTCTCTGAGCACTGGGTTAATAGGTGCAGGTTCATGTCCTGGGTGTCTTCTTGAGGTTTGGGAACATCGCACCGAAGAAAGGTGGCCAGGACAGGAACCCTCCCGCCCTGGACTGGCCCTGGCGCTCCCGATCTTAGCGCTCCTGTTTCTGGGCCTCTTTGTGATCTGGAGGGGGACTGCCTTTCCACCAGCCTCCCAGCCGTTTTCCCTTTTCCCGTGAGCTCATGGAAAATAGCGGCAGGCCTATAAAAGGTCATTTCTCCATTCCCATCCCTGCAGAGGGCAAAGGCCCCCCCCCCCCATGGGACCGTGCTTCTCCCTGCTGGAAGTGGTGGTGAAAGAGCGACAGGACACAGAGCTAAGGCCAGCGATGACTATCTGTGCAATCTATTCACACATTAAGGATGCGCTTTCCTATAGAGCTTTTAATCCCCACCTGATTCTCTGACAGCACCATTTCTGGAAAAAGCAGCCACAGCAGGGCTTTTCTCGGCCAGACGCGAGAGAGGACGATCAGACACTCCGCTGAAAATGGCCTTGTGCTGGGGAAATGAAATGGTTATTTTAAAGGCTTTGCCGCAAACCTCTGGAGTGCCGTACAGGATTGCATGATTCCTGGGCTTCCCCTCTTCCTTCCTTCCTTCCTTCCTTCCTTCCTTCCTTCCTTCCTTCCTTCCTTCCCATAGCTCTACTTCTATATAAGGTGCCTTACAAAGAACGAGAAGAAAAGGCCTTTCGAAATCAAACATGTACTTTGATGCAGCACTTCAAGGGACGGGACGCTTAGTGGAGGTTCGTGGAGGCTTCAAGGAGGCTTCAAGGAGCTTCCGGTCAATTTGGGCTGAGCAGAAAACAACTCCGAGAGGGGAGGGGAGAGCTGAGCCAGCAAAGGATATTTGTCCACACATTCCGGCTTGGCTGTAGTTGGGGGTGAAGATTAAGGGGTTGAGCTGAAGGGTGAATGGCCCTTAAAACAGACCTGCGGGGTAGGCCAGTGTTACCCAGCATTATCCTGCCTCAAGCCAGACTGCTGCCCGCCCACCCACCCACCTTGTGCTCCAGTACAAGGGACAACGGTGGGTTGACTCGAGGCTCCACGCGACCCAGCGAGGCGCCCTTCCCAGCTTAGGGGCGTTAAGTCAGTTCTATTTAGCCGCTAAGCAGCAGGGCAGCAGCTTTGCAGGGGCTGAGTCTGCTCTGGTCTGCGAACACATCAAGCGCGCTGTCGGTTCTACCTTCATTCCTGCAGCAAGAATAATAAAATGCTCTCTCTCTCTTTTGTCCCCTTCCAAGGCATGGCTCTGAGTGTGGCCGGAGTTCTAGTTCATTGATTTTAGCTGCAAAAGACAGAGCCGGGATGCGAGTTATCTGTGAAAGGGGTGTGGCTGTATGCAGCAATTGTGTGGTTTGCAGACTCCTTGGGGCAGGGATCTAGCTTTTAAGGCATTCTGTGGCAGGAGTGTTGAACCACTGGCATCTCTAGGGCTCTTCTCCCACCCCCAGGAAAAGCGACTGGCCTTGCTGATTCCATGGGGCCCCAGTTTTCCTATTTCCAAATTGGCTCCAACTCAGGTGCTGAGTGCTAATATCTTTGTGATCCAAAGGGGATCGTATAGTGTACTCAAGGGAGCCCTGAGCTTCACAAACATTTGAAACAAATCTTTAGAGAATGAAACTAAATTGAGTGATTTTAAAAGCAAACCAATGCATAAGCACAGCATCTGCAAAGTAATAAATGCCAGTAGGAAAACCAGAAAAATGCTGGGAGAGAGGAGCAGAACTGGGCGTATTCTGGAAGAGGTTTTGGCTGGTTGGTGCCCTGGGCAGGAGCTCTGTCCGAGGCAGCAGATACGCTGCAGCATCTTGCTGCAGCTCTCAGTTGCATATAGATGGTCAGGACAGATGCATTTTCGATCTTCAGGTGCATTTGGGTAAAATGAAGCAACAGAGACAGAGCTGGCAAAGAAAAGCCAAGCTGCCCCACTTGCCAGGAGTTGGTAGCAGTCTGGACTGTCTGGGCTGTTAGCTATTTTTATTTCCTCAGTATATTTGGGAAAACTGAGAAGGCTTGGACCCTTGGAATGGGTTGACTAAGAGGGGCCCCGTCATCCGTGTGTGAGAGAGAGAGCGAAGGAAGCCGACGGGAAGTGGGTGCTGTTCCCCCCGAGCCATCTCGTTTGGCACGGATTCCTTTCCCATGGCCTTCTGCTGCCTTGACCGTGCCTTTGCCCTCCATCCTGGCTCATTAGTGCCATCAAAAGAGACAGCTGGGCTGCAGCGAGGAGCAGACGGTTCCAGAGAAACAGGGCTCTCCTCCCAGTGCGCGACCGCTCGTAAGAACATCGGAAAAGTCCTGTCGGATCCGACGCAAAGTCCTGCACAGGACTCTTCCTGCCCAGCTCCTCGCACCCGGTGCCTGCAGGCAGGCCACCTCTGGTGAAGAAGGAAGCCCGCAGCCACAGGCAGCCTCCTCCCTTGTGAATCTGTCCAGTCCTTTTTAAAGCCACCCGGATTGGCCGCCAGCACCACTTCCCAAGGCGGCAAACCCAGCTCTGCACTGCATGAAGGGGCCCTTCCTTTGATCCGCCCCGAAACTTGCCACCCATCAGCTTCATGGGATGCCCCCGGGTTCGGGCGTTCTGTCTCCCTCTTCATTTTTTCACGCCAGGCATGACGTTCAACACCTCCAGCCTGCCTCCCCTTCCTCGCCTGCTTTCCGAGCTGAACAGTCCCCATTATCGTTGCTGCTCCTTACAGGGCCCTGCTCCAGCCCCCTGGTCATTTTCGTTGCCTGTGTCGTTATTCCCACTAGGGGATCTGATGAGCCTGAGCTCAGCATTTCTTCCCAGGATCTGGCAGGGGAAACTGAGGCAGCACTCATTCCCTCTTTGGCAGAGCTAGAAACAGTCTGAAGCTCCCCAGCTTCTGGCCACCATGCTTCTTGCAGTAGGGTTTGGGCCCACCTGGCATGCGATTTCTCTGAGGTTAGAAGTAAGCAGCCCGTCTGAAAACCAGCTGCTAAAACAGTTTGGTTCTGCACACCCCTTTTAGGGATATGAAAGGCAGGTGTTGCTTTTTAGTTGTCCGGAAAGAGAAGCGGGCAAGGCGTGCGTGCATGTTGTACACGGCACATGATATGCAGAGATGCGTATTTTAGGACCACGGGTCACCTCCAAGCAGGAAGCAGGGGGACCGTTCGCCTGCTGTCCACTGCCAGGCACTTGAAAAAGCACATGGGTGCATAAGCTTAGGAGCCACAGGTGCTGAGTGGTGATTGGAATAGAAATCCAGAAAAAATACCCGGGAGAGGAATGCAACTTGTCCATCTTGTGGAGAGGGTTTTTGTAGAGCTGGAAGGGGCCACGAAGGCCATCGAGTCCAACCCCCTGCTGTTACACCATCGCACTCAGATGGCTGTCCAGTTTCCCCTTGAATGTCTCCATTGTGGGAGAGCCCCCCACTCTCCAGGCAGCCAGTCCCACTGTCGTGTTGCTCTGACAGCGAGGAGGCTTTTCCTGATGTCCAGCCTGAATCGGGGTTGCTGCAGCTTGAATGGATTATTCCCTGCCCTGCACTCTGGCATCAGCGAGAAGAGAGCCTGACCTTTCTCCTTGGGGCAGCCTCTGAGGTATTTGCAGAGGGATGCCTGCAGCCCTGAACAGGAGTCCCGTTAGGAGGCGAGGAGTGCAAGAGTTTGTTGCAGGAACCAGTTGCCCATGAATCATAAGGACAGATGCTCTTTCTGTCTTCAGATTTGGTGGCATGGTGTAACCTGGTGTCCTGCAACAGCAGGGGTTGGACCCAATGGCCTTTGTGGCCCCTTCCAACCCCACTCTTCATGCTTCAATGATTCTAGGTGCACTGGGGTAAAATATAGCAATGAGAAAAAGCTGGGGAAAGGCCCGGAGGAAAGCTGCTCTGGTTGGGTGACCGCAAGCCCCCTGCTGTTCTTTACATTTGAACCAGATGTGCCCTTTCAAAAGAGGACTGTCCACTGTGAAGAAGGCCACCAAGCCGCAAGGGGGTTGGCTTTTGATTTCGGTCCAAAGGCCTTGTAATTTGCAGAAGAACAGCGCTGCGTTCGTGCGAATGGTGGGTTTTGCCGTTTCAGAGCGTAAGGCGGAGAGGGGGTGTCGGATCTGTGCAGCCCCTCCGGTGAGAGCCGGCTGGGCTCGGAGCAAGGCCAGTCCCTCGGAGGGGAGAGGTGCCGGCTTGCGTCAGAAATAGCACAAGACCAGCCCGTAACACAAACACACCGAGGGGCTGGGAAAAGCGCGGCCCCTTCCGCGGCCCCGGCCCTCCTTTCTGCCCTTTCCCACCAGCAGTGGGAGGCGAGGAGTGCCGCTGGGCCCCTCTGCGGCAGCGGCTGAGAATTCCTGCCGGTTTAGCTTGGCCCGCTTCCAGGGGATCAACCGTAATGGGTGAGGGGCTGCGGGGGCCTGAGACAAAGGCGAAAGCCAGCTATCCGGCCATGGCACGAGCATGCAACAACGGGGAGCAGGAGGCCTGACACCGGGGACCAGCGGGCTGAGGGTCTTCCAGATAATGGGCTGGAGGAAATGAGAGGGGGGTACGCCGCAGACCCTTGTCCGCAGGAAGTGTCCCTTTGGTGCCATCTGAGGGTCCTGTGCCCCTGGCCACCCTGCACCGGCCTTCCCTTGTGCTCCGCGGCCGAACAGACAAAGAGGATTGTGGCGGCGTGTTCAAGGGAGTTACTTGCTCTGTAGAGAGGGCAGGAACCCAAAAATAGCTTCCGTGCGCAAAATAAGCACTCAGCCACTGTGCCCCTGTGGGGAGGGGCCACGTGGTTTCGAGCTAAAGTTTTCTGGATAATGTGCGCTGGGACGTGAGGGGAACACCCACGCAGTCTTCGCTCGTGCCGAGCCTTTAGAGTCCATCATAAAAGCAAGGCATTGGAAGAACCTGGGATGGTGTGGAAGAGCACACAGTGGAGGTTCAAGT